TGAAAACCAACATGCCAAAACTTTAGAAGTATGCTTTCTTGATGAACTTTATCATCAAGTAATGGCTGAATTTTGATGAACTTTAATCAGTCAAAAGGCTCATTTATGCATGAAAGGTGTAAAAACTGGCACTTTCTGTGCTAGCTGTTTAAAAAAAACAAGAAAATACCCATGAAGTTGTATTAACGTTATGAAAGAACACACACAAAAAAGAAGAATATGCTACTCATTATTTTGCCACCTGCACAGGCTGAATTTGACCTGGACAAATTGTCCCACTGTATGTCAGCGGTCTATGAAATCTATCCGGCATGGAGGCTGACAGATAAAAAGTAGAGACAAAGACTTCACAGTAGTCTCTGATCTGCCACGCCACACCCTGACCAACAAAGGTAACCCAACTGCTGGGGGCTACACGAATGCGCCCACAGACGCACATCACATGCACACACAAAGCTGGCTACATCAGATACAGTCTGTTGTAACTCTACACTAGAGATAGAAAGGTGGAGGACATGATGAGGGATGAGATGTGTGTGGGTTTGTGTGTGTGTGTGTTCTCCCTCTGAAGTTGAGCTAATCACTACACCCCCTCAGGGGTCTCTATTCAACCTCACTTTTCTCCATCCAACTCCACACTGTCTCACTCTCCAGTCTGAAGAGGAGCAGTGTTTTCTCGAGAGCACTAACAGTCTCTGATCATCTTTTTTTTTTTTTTTTTTTTTAGTCTCTGATCATCAAACAGTGCCAACCTTCAGAATGACAAGACACCGCTGCAACAATCACCTTTTATCATGATAGTACTGAACAAAAGGTGCTTCTTCTGAAAGATCTGACAGAACATCTGACAGATATAAAGATAAGCAACAGTCTTACTTATGATGAAGACTATCATTTGCCCAGAATGTGCAAGAACAAACCGCAGAATGAAAATGAAACTATAAACATCCAGAAGCATTATCCATGTTTGTGAACATGTTTACCTGTAACCATGGAAGTCATCAGCGATATTTTGGACCAGTGAAGAGGTCATGGACTGATGACGGTACTCAGCAGTCAGTAATGCATTCTCATAAATTAAAGGCTCTGTGTGATTGGCTTTGGGGTCCCAGGTGTAGTTTCCATGTGTGGCGAGGTTGACCCCTCCTCTTTTGCGCCGAGGCAGAGTCCCATGAATAGAGATTGGCTGGTAGGCGGCAGCTGGCTTTTCTGATAGGCTGCCACACTGGCCTGGATGGAGACTGCATGCAGGACAAAAAGCAAACAGTTACTCACAATGGGAAATGTTACTATTGCTGATTTCCAATAAATGACTCAACAGCAGTGAGCTTCTGATGGTTACACAGCTTACCCAGGTCTGGAGCTGAGAAGATCCATGGAGGATGTGAGAGAGGCCTGGTGCCTCCTGGAGGAGCAGGTATTATTGCTTGGGGCACCAAGAGGGCTGCTGGGTACTCCAGAGTGGCCTGTGCCTCCTCCCAGGGTGTGGTGTGCTTGAAGAGACCTGGGCAGACTTGCAAAACGCCCCTCTGCCATCATCCTCAACTCTGGAAACAAAACACATACAGACATTTACTGTTAAACAGTAATGACATACACCATGACTTTGGATTACTTAATAAAGATTAATAACTTTACTGAGTTCCTGCAAATATAAAGGAAACTAAGTGAATGAATCAAACAAATTAGCTGTCTTCAGGTGTGTTATAACGAACAGTAATCTCAGCTATACATTTGTGTAACAATGGCTGACATGAAGCACTGACTGAGATGAAATGGCGCACACAGCCAGTATACAGTAGTTGTCTCTCTTTAATGCAGACACAAAGCCATCATTCTCACTCTCTTTCAAGTGTTCACACATACAGAAATACTTACTAGCACTTTTCGCTAATGTTTAGTAAATGCAGCAAGTTAATCTGACCTCTGAATAACACCCCATCTCTGTTTAATGGATTTTTTCCCCCTTTTTTAAAAACAAAAAATTTCATGTGGACACTCTGAAACAAAATCTGTAGCTATACTGTGTCTGAAAATGAAGCCAATAAAATGCACACAGGTTAGCAAATGGATAACAATTTAATACTTCCACTGAAGAGGGGAAGATTAAAGTAAAGTAGATGTGTTTGAGAATTTTGCCTGAGCCAATTTTTATACAATAGTTGGATCGGCGCCACGTTTTCTTTTCCCCCACACCAGACTGAAGGCTGACTTCAGCCCTCTGTTAGTGGATATGAGAACAGAATAGAGGTCTGACCCTGTGTGCCTCAGTGTTATGTGATATTTTTAGCAACAACCTCTGAGTATCAGTATCAGTATAACACTAGGACATTTTCAAAATACTTTGTATTCCAGTAATCTCCTTAAAAACGGATTCATACACCAGATACTTAACAAAAGGGGAAAAAAACAGAAAAAAAGAAAAGAGAGCAGCACTGCACCCAACTTTATTTTTGCCCATTAGCTAGATCTTGTGTAATGAACAGACAGACACAGTTATAAATACAGCATGATGAACATGACTGCTAGGATGACAGGGACCTAAAACACAGGACAGAGAAATTCCCCTGCTGTGCGATGATGAGTGAACAGCACAGCTTTATCCGCTCTGAATCACTCACAGCGCAGCAGTTAGTCACACTGTACAAACTAAAATAACACGGTAGCAGACTGGATTCAACTGACCCTCTCTCTAATCTCAAACCTAAGAATCTGATCTGAACAACTGAGCCTGTGTTTGCTATTGTTAAACAGCCTGATTATGATCAGAGAACACAAGCTGAAGGAACATAATCAAGCTGACTGGTGTTCAACTGACCTGCAGTAACTGCAGAAAAATGCTGCTGGACCACATTTACATGTGCGTGATAATAACAAAAAAGATGATCCGCAACAAACAACAAAAACTAACAGCTCAGACGGACATCATTTCAGACCATGTGTACAGTACAGAAACATGCCTCTTAGCAGCAAACTGTCTTATTTTGAATACTTTGATAGCAAGCCGAAATGATAAAATATCTTTGTAGCATTTTTGTTTAGATTTCTGCCAATGCGAACAGAACTAGCGCTTAAAAATATGTGTGCCTATTTGTCTGTGTCTATATGTCAGGTCGGGTCTTAGACTCCACCTCTCTGGGAACTCCCAGGCCCTCCAAGTGTGGAGGCCTATCTCCCCTCACCACACTCCCTGCCGGTGACTGATGCCCTCAGGGGTCGGTGCATTGTTGGTTCTTGGTGTCCGGGGCTGGGCGCTCAGGTCATGTGCCAGCTCACTCCCGGTGGCTACTTGGCGGGGCCTGGCGCCTGCTGCTCAGTCAGGCCTCTTCCGAGGCGCGGAGGGCCCTCGGGCCTCCGGCCTCTGTGCCTGCGGCTCGGTTCACTCTGGCACAGCTGGCTGCCGGCGGAGCCGGCGGGCACGCCGGTGCAGCCCCCTCTAGTTTCTGCCCGGTGGCTACTGGGTGACCCCTCGCCTGGGTATCCTCAGCCCTTCCCATGAAGGTGGCACGGATGCCCCTCCGGTGGTCCTCCTTGGGCTCTTGCACTCTGGGGCCTCTGGATGTCTGGGGCCTGGATCTCCTCCATGCCTGCTTCATGCCCTGGGGGACAGGGCTATGGCTCTCTACATCCTCTTGCAGACCATTACATGGAGAAACCATTTGAATACAAGCGCGCCGATCCACACAGGTGTGCACACGGGTGTTCACTGTTTGTAGACTTAAATCACACCTTTCTTGGCTGCTACTTCAAAGCACATTGTGCGCTGTCTGTCCTGCGTGCTGCACAACAACATTCAATATTTAGTATTTACTGCTGTTTACACTTAGCTAGATTAATGCGATGGTGTTGTGTATAGTATGTTGCGTTGTTTTTTTTTGCTTGTTTTCTATTCTTTTTCTCTCAACAGGTGATCCCGGAGATATTTTTTTCCCCCCCTTTCTCACTGTCCCTCTCCCCTTCTGTTTTTTTTTTCCTTCCTCTTTCTTTCTCCCTTTCCTATCCCTCACTCATGTCTTTCCCGTCTGTAACAACTGAAAATAAAATAAAATAAATAATAAAAACAAAGGTCGATCAAATGGACCAATACGGCAATGGCATGATGATCCATTTGGCAAAATAAATCCATTGGGTATCCTTGTTGGTCTTCAGACAACAATTCTGATGGCTAAAGAACCAAATGGGACAGGCAAAAAAAAAATAAATAAATAAAAAATGTGAAAGCATAAATTGGAGCACTTGTTGAAGCAGCATTACAGCCACAGAAGTCAATTTCCCCGCTTCCAGGGCTGTGCTAAAGTATGCTCAATGACTGAGATGATTGATACCCTGTGTGATGTCTCCAAGATTTGTGTTTAGTAGCACTTTTTTGGTCTTTTGGCAAAAATACTCGCATAGTTTCTCATCTACGGCTGTTGTTTGCTGTCACGTTAAATGGCAAACACTAGAGTTCAAAGGAGAACTAGAGTTCACCAGCTCAAAGGAGAAGGCTACAAACGAGAGGACACAACCTTTCAGTAGGTTCTTGGAGTTTGGTCACTCCTAAATAAACCAGGACCGCCTTAAACTGGAACTAAATGCTAAAACTTAACTCCAGCAGGGGGTCACTGAGCCACCAGCTTGTAATCATGAATATCAATAAAAATGCAAATAATGGTTTAGAGAAAGGAACAGCTGGCTGGTTCAGGACTCTTCAGTGTACACAGTAAAAGTCCTTCTAAGGCATGCCGGGTCAGAGAGAGTGGATTCCTCTGAAGGGTAGAACGACTACAACAGGAGAAGCTATTATACGACCCTCGGGGACGGTCAGCTGTATGTGTATTTGTGTGTGTGTGGCCCTGACCATCTGCCAGACACACACACACTCTCCTGCAGAGGAGAATTGACTGACTCTCACTGATTGAAAACACAAACACTTAGCACTTACTCCCGTATACTGGGTCAGTTTAATGAATACATAAATGATTCATTCTGAGAGCTACAGCTACACTCTTGTCCTGTATCATTTGCCTACTCTTTTCCTACCATTTATTTTTTTCTGCATTATTTCACTCAGTGAGAGAACACTGGTCCCTACTCATCCATCTTCCCCCTTTCTCTTGTAGTCTCACGCCCTCCTCCACACAGACATGCCCTCCCACCCTTCCTCCCCGCCTGTCCATCATGGCAGCTCCCAGACTTGTCCTTCTCCCTTTTCTTTATCCTTTTACCTCTTATAATAATGGACTCGTCTAGTTCCCCACCACTTTTATCTTTGTCCCTGGTTCACCCTCTCTTCTCCACAGCTGTTCAACCAGTAGTTATAACTCTGCAAATGAGTGCAAGTGCTTCCTATACCAAGTCTATTATTTCCTATGTATGGACAGTATACGCTATAGTGGGTCAGAGAGATTTGAAAAGACATCCATGCCAAAGAATTTGTGTTTTATACCAGCAAGTTTAAACTTCACATTAGGTTTGAGTGACACTTGCTAGTGCCTTTTTTTCATGTACATGCATCAAGGTGTGTGCACGTTAAGTAACGTAAAAACATCTTAAAATCAGAATCGTAACGGTTATAACATAATCATAACATAATCCCTCAGAAGCACAAGTGACAATATAATCAGTAGACAGCAGAGAAGATAGCGGTATCAACAAAAAAACATATCAAGAATTCTGAGTCGTTATTTCTACCATTTTGACCCACATTTCAACTGGCATCAATTTTTGCTTGATGTTTTACAGAAAAACTGTTTGTTTTAAATAATGTGCTTTCGTACAAACACACAGGAATGAACATTTCTAGATAATGATAAATTATTCATTCTAAGAGAGTTTTTGCTTATAAATGTATTATTATTTTTTAAATCAAAACTAAACTAAAATGAAACAGCAGTAAGAAAAATCAACATATCAGAAACTTGATGCAGTCTCACCTTCAGAAACAACAAGAAATAACTATGTTTACATATTTCATGAATGTCACAAATGTACTCATGTTCATATACTAACAGGGCAATGTAGACGGTTACAACGAGGAAAAACAGTCATAATTTAATAAAGTTTCAGTTTTTATTCCTCAGTTTCATTTAATAAATATCCTTCAAAATGCCCAATCATTCCCCTGCAATTGGTGGATCCTTATCCAACTGTCACATTGTTATTGTATTTAAACTGGTTATGAGGAATATTTTAAGAAGGTATTTATGCTATCTTACCTTAACATATGGTAGCGCAACGCTGAGTACAAGTTAAATTTTTGTTATTACCTCAACCCAGTAAGATTGGGTAGCTAGACAATTCCAAAATAAATGGTTAAAAGGGAAATTCACACAGTTTCACATGTTCATAAAGGTCTGACAGCCAATAAAAAGTTTTATTCTTTAGCCATGTAACAGACAAAACATCCTCAAGTGAGATTTGTTTTGTCACCAACACTAGTGAAGGCCTTGGGTTTGGAACAATAACATTTGTGCACAAGACCTTGGGGGGGGGGGGAGTGTAGATTAACAGGAAGAGGAAATGGCAGTATAAACATTTAGAAGACAGCAGTTCATTATAAAGAATT